GATGGTGCTTAGCGAAATTTGATTGGCTAAATCTATGGCAGCCATCTTGGATGGTACACACCTGTCTCTTATACACATCTAGATGTGTATAAGAGACAGGATATAGATAAACCATAGAGGTATAATAAGAATACTAGAGCGCTAACTGCAATGTATTCGATGTTCGAAACACGCAGAGCTGTGTGTGTGTACATCTAAGATGGCTGCCATAGACTTAGCCAATCAAATTTCGCTAAGCACCATCGTTTGCAATTGCGCCCTCAATTTACTCAGAAAGTTCAGTACAGCTAGTTACCCGTATGTTTGAAACTCGAGCGTTGCGGTGTTTGGGTGTAATGTACACGATTTTAATTTTCTTTCCTTGGTACTTCATTTTTGAATAAGATGCTCCTTTTGGCTACAATAGTTTAATAATTTGTTATTACCATTACTCATTATCATTAATGAAATAATAGTCAGTCAGAGGGCTTATTAATATATAATAATATGTATACTAAGCCTGAAGGTGGCGCTTTACTACGACGGCCATCTTGGATGGTACAATATACATAACTCTGCATTGTTGCGCCATCTTGTCAGCACTCTAGTTGTATAATAGCTCTATGCTAAAGACACAACCAACAAGAACAGTATCTTAAACTCATGACCTCTCAATTGAAAGTTTGAAGAACTATCGCCGCACCACATGCTTCCATTATACATGGGTTTCCTAAATCTCTTCTCATGCATCATAATAACCCCACTTCACTCTCAAAAAACAAGTACTTACATGTTACTGGTTTTATCCAGTTGAGAAAATGGTTGGTTGATAACTCCGAAGATAGGTTCCCCGGTCTGACGCAAGAAAGCACCTATAAGGATGACTGCACATGGCAGACCATTCTGGTAAATGCCATCAGGTGAGGGCTCCTCAACACCTCCTCTTATGTATTCTGCTGTGCCATCTAATTCAGAAATATTCAAAAAACATTACCACCCAGACCATTGTCAAATGGCTATGGACCACACACCTCCTGATATTGCTTGTTCCAATATAATTACCCCACATATATCTGAAGGCACCTACTTTTACTAATACTTTGTCCTAGTAGTGGTGGTACAGTAGTAAAACAGCTGTATTACTTACAGTAGCAGTAGTATTACTAGTAGCAAGTAGCAGCAGCAGCAGTAGTACAAGTATTAACAGTAGCAATATTGTACATTAAGTCATATATAGACACCTACCAATGGGATCGATCCAAATACCAATGTTGTTGACATCCATTTCACATTGAACATCTGCACATTCAGGAGATGGCATCACATGTACACTCTGATGGACTGAATTAGCCAATAAGGAAGCAGCTTGTGAATTACCATCTAACACCTATCAAGAAAAGACATCAAATGTTTACAATAACAACCATGGCCTCATAGCTCAGTATCTGAATGATAAAAATTAGGACATGGGTTTTTTGGTATGGAGGTATACCTCTATGCCAAAGATACTAGCTTTTTAAAGACTATTCGTTCAGACTGCCACCAACAATCAGTAAATGGTGTCACATAGTCTAGCGCTCACAAGGAGAGGAATTGGATTCGTAGTGCCCTGCTTCATGCTTTTGAAGTGGATGGTTCCAGGTATTCAACCCTAAAGCAGGGCATGTACTACATTGTCAGGACGGTCGTACAACCGTCAAACCCAACACAGCTCTCTGTGAGCACTCGACAACTTGAACAGCTGCATGCCACGTTAACTCGGTGAAAAACAGGATCTTCGCCAGCAAGTCAGTTATTGTTTAATAAATTTACCTTGGTAAGAAGCTGGCATGTTTCTTGTTGTGTTTCTTGTATTTCTACAACAATTGATTCACCAAGTGTGTTGGTAAACTTGTTGCTCTCCTCACCAAACACATACTCCCTCAAACCTGGATACTAACATACAAAAAATTTTAGTTTTAAAATAAGTCAATCGAATAGGAATGCACGATATCAAAGATGAAAGGGAGCATGGATGCACAATGTTAATGATAAAAACAGACAGGGATAGAGTGTCAAAAATAAGGATGAAAAATACCAAAATTAAAAGACAAGAAGAATGGAGAGTGTTTAAGATAAATGAGTGCAGGGATGGAAAATATGAAAAGCACAGGTAGGCAGAGTGCTAAATACAAAAGTGGGCAGCTATGGAGGGCATCAAAGATAATTTATGAAAGAGGGCAGCTATTGAGATCATCAAATATATTTTATGAAAGAGGGCAGCTATTGAGAGCATCAAAGATACTTTATGAAAAAGGGCAGCTATTGAGATCATCAAATATATTTTATGAAAGAGGGCAGCTATTGAGAGCATCAAAGATACCTATTTTAGGAGGACTCTATGAAGAGCATCGAAGATACTTCAAGTAAGATACAGAAATGGAGAGGATCAGAGATACTGTATGGTGATTTCTTTGATATATTATGTAATGAATATTCACAATATAGATCGCAACTGTCCGACTTGATATTTATTGTAGGAGACTTTAACGGTAGAACAGGTTCTGAAAATGATTACTGTACATCACTTATCAAAATAGTTCATGGAATAATGTTGAAGATAATTATGTACATGAATGTAGAATGAATGATGATTGCACAGTGAATAATTATGGTAAAGATTTGCTTGAGTTTTGTAAAGTATCCGGTAACTTTAAATATATATCATCCTTAAAAATTGACGAACGTATGGAATCGGATCATATGCCAATTAATTTAATCCTTCAGTTTGAAAATACTAGTAAATGGAATAATACTGAAGAGTTAGACTTGAAATACCAAATATATTTAAATGGTCTGATAGCTATATTGATGCAGCTTGAGCACGATGGAAGCATAACATTATTGAAAATATTGATCATGAATTTATGAATGCCCTCAGTGAAAACCATGTTGACAATGCAGTCTCATGTTTATGTCAAATGTTTGAATATGTATGTAAAGGAATTAACTACACACGGGCAGGTAAACCCTCAACACAAATACAAAGAAACGGATGGTTTGAGTGCATGAATCTCAAAACACAGGTTTTAGATTGGCATAGCTGGTAGAATGTTAACCATTATAAATTTGTTATACCAAAATTTAACAGCTCATGTAAAAATAGACAAACTGAGTACCTCATTTGATTGTTTGATTGGAGTACAACAAGGTTCTCCACTTTCATCTTTACTTTTCAATATATATATTAACGGCGTAAGCCATCTTCTTAATCAAGTAAAGGAAAAAGATTCAATTTGGAGATTGTTATCTTAACCATCTTCTTTACGCCGACGATCTAGTACTTGTTATCGATACTGTAAAAGGACTACAAAATTTGATTAATAAACTAGAATTATACTGTGATAAATAGAAACTCACTGTTAATATTGATAAATCTAAAATTGTTGTATTTAAAAAAGGAGGAAGATTCAGAAAAATTGAAAAATGCTATTACAAGAATCCTCAATTACGAATTCAAACCTCATACAATTATTTAGGTGTTATCTTTAATTCAAATGGATCATGGAACACTGCTACAGAACACAACTGTCAAAAAGCAAATCAAGGTTTATTTTGCTTAAAATCATTTATTCACCGTAACTTAACATTCATACCATTCAGTACATGGAACTTTCTTTTTGATGCCAAAATCCTCCCCATTTTAATTTACGGAAGCGAAATTTGGGGATTGTTCGATAATCCTAATATTGAAAACCCATATCAAATTTTGTAAATATTTATTAGAAGTTGGAAATAATGCACCAAATGTCGCTGTTATCTCGGAATTGGGGAGACTACCACTTAAAATAAATTGTTTAATGACCGTTATTAGATTTTGGTTACACATTATTTCATTAAATCATGATAGATTTGTATTTAAATGCTATGAGTTTCAGTTGAGGAAAGTTAGTAGAAACGAGAACTGCTGGGCACTACAGGTTAAACAATTACTTTGTTCTAATGGATTTGGTTACATTTGGTTTCAACAGTTTGTATACGACAAAACTTCTTTTAAAAACCGAAAGGTCCACTGATTAATCTCAGATAAGAAAGTATAATACATACTCCAAGTATTGAAATACACGCATGGGATTCAATATTTCGACATTAATTATGTCATCATCAGGAATGAAAAAATTATCCATATTAGCAAGCTTATATGCACTAGTACCAAAAGTGTTTAACCAATCAAAACATTACCTCTAGTAGGTGACATAGCAGTGATTTAAACAAAAGATCAAAGCATTCTTACTCTAATGATCAAAGATACCTACAAAAACAAAGAAAGCTCTTTTGAAGCTCTGAGCCCATTGTTAAGCAAAGGGTGTAGTCTACGTATAGCGAACACTTCTTTTCTGAATGAATTTAAGTTGCGTCTTTGTGATATTGAAAAACAAAAGTGTATTGAGAAATTTAGTTTATATTCTAGACTAAGGTTATCTGCTAAAAAAGCGGACAGGAATGGAGAGTATAAAGATGAAAACCAGGGATAGACAGTGCTATTATAGAGTAAAAGATTACAAGGATGGAGAGTGTCAAAAATATTTAAAAATTAAAAAAAAAAAGATGTGATAGAGTCAAAGATGCTATGACAGTACTGTACCTCTTGATTTAAATCATGTCGAATCATTTCCTGAATCAGAACATCTCCAAGAGTTTTGAAGTCTTCAG